TTTGTAAGGTAGAATTGAGGTCATGATAGTGGGGAGAAGGAAGCACCAAAGAACTAGAGGAAAGTTCTGTTTCATCAGTGCTACACTGCACCCTGACTGGCTCATCTCTTCCCTGTGACCCGTGAGGGCATGTCCAATTGTCTACAGATGGGCATTGAGTCTCCACTCCATGCCCGCCCTCCCCATTCACATTGGGTATGATTTTGTTCTGGGTCTTAGATGCCTGACACCTGATCACACCTCATGATCACACAGGCTGGTGTGCTTCCACGTGGACTTTGTTGCTTCTGAGCTAGATGGCTGCTCGTTTATCTTCAAGCCTTTAAGACCCCAGACGCTGTATCTTTTGATAGTGAGGCACCATTAGTTTTCTTCACCACATTTGCTTATGCACCCATTTTGTCTTCAGCGATCATGTCAGGAAGGTGAGCATCACAGAATGCCTGATTGTTAGAACAAAGTGTTCTGTCTTAAGGGAGTACTTGAGTCGAGGCCCAATGTCTACCTTAATTCTTAACATATAGATATGAGCACATAGTTCTATTCCTCTCTCATTATATATATGTTTGCATATGTACATGACTGGATTTAGGCCTTTATAAATGTCCTTTGCCCCCTGGTTCTTTCTTCTATTTCCTTAAAAATTCTAAAGTACCTAAAAAAAAAAGTACTACTACTACTGGGACTCTGTGAAATGTTTAAATATATTAATAATTAGAATATTCTGGAAAAGAAATGAGAATTTAAATATAAAAAGCAAAACCACCTTCCCACAAACAACACAGATCTCAGAAACTAAATATAACAAATGATACTTTATTGTTCAGTGTTTACATTGTCTACAAAATAGGAAAGTAACTGGAAAAATACAGAAATCCCCTCCTGTATTGAAAAATAAATATGAAGAGTATAGCTTCAAAATGATGCAGAAAACAGATGCTTCCAAGGATTCCCCTTTTTCTTAAGAATTAAAGAAAACAGTTCGGAATATGGGATATAAATATGCAGAGGATTTTTATCTCATAGCCAGTAACCTTATCGTGCAACTTTAGTCGAAAAAGAATGGTTCTTTTATGAAACAGGTCTTCTTGAATTATAGACTTTAACACCATTCTGCACTGAGGAGCGGGCATATTTAGTGAGTAAAGCTCCGATGGTTTGCTTCTGTCCACACAAATCTCTGTGGGGACAAAAAGAAAATGGAATAGCATGAAATTTTAGGACCCAAATTCACAGCACTCGTTATTTTTATGTTTCTCCCTAATCCTGTCTGACAAGCATAACGGTGTATGCATGTGTGTAATGGAAGAGGTCGATGGGGAGAAGTTACAAGACGTAATTGAACTGAGCGTGTTACAGCTTACGGCATGCCATGCCTTACTGAATCTTCACAATACCAGTACGAGCAACGTAGACTCTACCCCCCCAGGGAAATTAAGCTCATCTAGGAAGTGGCAGAGTGGAGGTCTGCAGCAGCCCGGCAGGTTTGTAGGACAACAAAGTCCACGGTATTTCCATCGTAAACAGAGTACAAGTTGGATACACCGAGAGGTTGCAGTAGGGGTGGTGGTGTGTCTAGAGTCAACGAACCTGGCTACGAGGCTTCCCGAGTGAGCTTGTCTAGGTCACCCACATTCCCTGAACGTCAGCTTCCTCCCCTGTGCCCACCCTGACACCATAGTGAACAGAGAGAAGGGTGGGAGCACATGAGCTAGGGGAGGGAGGGAGGGCGGTTCAGATCACAGAGCGAAGTGAAGGATGTGACAAAGAATTGAGCTTTCACACTACACATAACAGGGAGCCAGTGAGTTTGCTGATGAGGGAAAACTCAGAAAAGGAGGGTGAAGAGGTTAGTTATATAACACCAAGTGTCCACTAAGTGTCACTACACTGTGAACGTGGACTGTTTTACCTCTCTGGGCTCTCCTATCCACTGCCATGGCTACACAGAACTCACAGACAAAATTCAAGATTGAAAGGGTTTCAAAGGGAATTAACAAGTTGCAAGGCCAGGGAGAAAGGGTCTGGTTCGGGTTGTTTCTCTGGACATGTTACAAAGTCCTTTCTTTCAGGTCTTCTCCAAGCCACCCACCTTTATTTTCATGGGTCAGCAAGGCCAACTTCCTCAATTAAGTGCCCAGAGACACTCTACTCCCCAAACCAACCCGCCGCACAGAAGCACGTGAGTTCGGGCGTCCATCGCTCTGCTCCAGCTTCTGCTGATGATACAGAAGTCTTCTGGATCCAGGAGGGTCACTGTGGAGCTATCTCAAGTCCAAAGGCTACATCCCACTCCTGGATCTTGCTGGTAATGAAAGCCTGCTTTCAGAGGGCTCATGTTATATACGACAGGACTGTACTGCAGGGAATCCTGCTCACAGTTTCCCACACAGGCGCGCCCTATCACTATCTCCCCCACCTTCTTATCAAACCCACGGAGGGAAAAGTCATTTGGTGGGAGTGGGAGACTTCGGCGAGAAGAACCACGGGAAGTAATTCACTGCCCCGCAGGAGGAACTGTTATATCGGTGTTATGTTTTGCTGTGTCTATTCTCAACAAAATAAAACTTAAGGGAATAAAAAAGCATGATGGGAAACACTAGGATGGTTTCAATAAGCAGAAGAGCCACTCTGCCCTCATTTAACGATGGGGGCAATAAAGTAATGATCATGCAAGCTGGCTGGTGGGTATAGAGCGTTCATTACATTGTCAATTATGAACGTAGAAAAATTTCCAAAACACCTTTGGTGGCGAAAACAGACGACCAACTGACAGGCAGTAGTGCCACCTCAGCTTGTCATGACTCTCAGTCTTACAGAACTATTTCCCATTTTGTCATCCAACGTAATTGTGTGTGTTACAGCCACTTATAATAATGTGTTACAAATCTTGACCGTCAGGATATTCATGAGGCAGGATTAGAGGCAGTTAGTCAGGTGAAGAGGTCAAGGTACAGTCTACAACAGTGGTTCTCGACCTTCCTAATGCTGTGACCCTTTAATGCAGTTCCTCATGTTGTGGTGATCCCCGGACCATAAAATTATTTTTGTTGCTACTTCATCACTGTAATTTTGCTACTGTTATGAATCGGGCAACCCCTGCGAAAGGGCCATTCGATCCCCAGGTTGAAAATCGCTGGTCTGCAGGAATTGGTTGGATCTTGAGTCAATTTGCTTTGAAGCATATTGTTATGCCTCCCAAACCCTCCCCTCACAGGGACAGGGAAACAAACGCCGCCCCGGCCTCTGCCATTCTCCCAAGAGGCGTGAGCCTATTCTCGCGGCCCCTGTGTCAATCCATCTTGTTTGCGGTCTTCCTCTCTTTTGCTGGCCCTCACGTCACCAAGCACGACATCCTTCTCCAGGCCACGGTTCCTCCTGAGAGCACGTCCAAAGAACATGAGACAGAGTCTCACCCTCCTGGGTTCTCAGGAGCATTATGGCCATACTTTTTCCACTGTTCATCTTCCTAGAAAGCCGGTGTCCATTTAATATTCTCCACCAGCACTGTAGTTCAAAGGCACCCATCTTCAGTATCTCTTATTCAATCGACAGCATCCACATGCATATGAGAGGACTGAAAAATACCCCATGGCTTAGGGCAGGGGCACGTTAGCCTTCAAAGTGACATCTTTGGTCTTTAACAAATAGATGGGTCTTCAGCAGACGACTTGCCCAATTGCTTCATTTGATTTCCTAACAGCTGCTTCCATCGGTGTTGATTGTGGATGAAATAAATAAAGTCCTTGACAATTTCAGTCTTTCCCCCTTGTATCATGGTGTTATTTATTGGCCCCGTTGTGAGGAGTTTATGCCGAGGTGCCATGCATACTGATTTGCATCACGCAGCGCTTCCAGTTTCTCCTCTTGCTGCAAACTTGCAGAATCTGCTGCATTGGGGTTTGCCCTGCCGAGTACTTCCTCAACAACGAAATACGTTTTAAGGGAACAAGATCCATTTTTTGGAGGCATTACTTACTGAATATATGGAGCAATATCCTCTTCTGTCCATTTCTCCCTTAGAGAGAACAGACTATTAAAGCGTGCCTGATTATCCTCGGGCAAATCGTCAACTTTCAATAAAAATATGATTTCTGGTCTCGTGTGTCGATCCACCAGTGCTAACCCCTACAAGAAACGAGAGAAGGAGGGGCAGCTAAGGTAATGTTCTTGTTCTTAATGCGAGTCTTCTACATCTGGGGGCTTGGCTTAGCCCACGGTATGTCAACTATCAGTGCACAAAGCTTTTACAAACCACCCGAGGCTCACAATGAACCCTTCCCGAGACTAGGAGCAGTGATTCCTGGGTTAATCTCCCGCCGCCACCTCCCCCTCCATTTTCAGTGTGAATTAGGTGACGGTTTACAAAGCACATCGTCAGTTTTACATTCAGCAATTCCCACACAATCTGATTCTACTCATCCACTGCGACCCCCTCAATGCACCACCCATCACCCACTCCACTTCCTCTCAGCGAGGGCGTTTCAGTTCCACACCTGACTGACTATGGGCTCCAGCCTCAAAGGGGCCCATCGCTCTCATCCCAGGCAGCAAGCATGGTCCCCTTTGACTTTGAGGGTGTTGTTCCACGTTTTCCTCCCACTCCATCTAAGACTTCAAGAAAACGTTCTCTTCTCATTTTCTGTCATCTGGCTTTCAGTGCCACTAGTTTGTCAAAAGGTCTCGTTCTGAAAGTCTTCAAGGACCTCCCACTGCCCCAGTGGCCAGGCGTCTTGTCCCTTTGCCTGACTTTGTTAATGTTAATACACCTTTCTCTTCCAGCTCTCTGACATCACTGTCTCCTTATTTCCCTCTACTTCCCCAGCCCTGTAGGGAGCCCTGGTGGCATAAGGGGTTACACATTGGGCTACTAACCACAAGGTCAGCAGTTCAAAACCGCCAGCCATTCCACGGGAGAAGATCAGGCTTTCTACTCCGGTAACGTTACAGACTCAGAAACCTTCAGGGGCAGTTCTACCCTCTCCAACAGGGTTGCAATGAGTCAGAACCAACTCGATGGCAATGCGCTTGATTTTGTACTATATGCTAGATATCAACATGTAACCAACCTACTGATGTACCCTACCCCACTGCCATCAGTCAGTTCTGACTCATACAGACCCTACAGAACAGAGAAGAACTGCTCCCAGGGTTTCCAAGGCTCGAAGTCTTTACAGCAGCATCTTTCCCCCAAGTCAACATGCAACAGTAAACAAACAAGCAAATAAAAATTCGGTCAAAATGGCAAACGGGGAACAACCTAACTCAACATTTTCCCAAAACTAATATTTAACTGAAGACAACGGCTAAGTGCAGAACAGAGAACAAGGAAGGCCACCCTTGAGAAGTGACTCAAAGATGAAGCAGTGGCCGGGAGAGATTAGGGGGATCATGTGAGAACAAGAAAGCCCGTGGCTTAGAAGACAGCGAGATGCTTTGATGACTGGAAGGCAGGCTGGTGTGCAGAGAGGGCGACAGAAAGTAGCAGGAGATGGCGATGCTCCAGGGCTGATCATGAGGACTTTGTAGGCCATGATATAAATTATTGACTTTCTATCTTCAATGCCATGGACAACCGTTGAAACCTTTATGGACTCATGTGGCTGGCTTTTTAAAAAGAGCATTCGAGCAGCACCGGAGAATGAACTACCCCATCAAGTCCACTCCCATCCACAGCGACCCTACACAGGGTGGTAAATCTTCCTTGGAGCAGACGGTCTCATACTCCAAGCTCGGTGGGTTTGAACCGCTGACCTTACAGCAGGGCTGACTATTGAAGAGGCAAGAGGTAATGGCAGGATGCTGGTAGTGGAAATGGAAAGACATGGATACAGTGGGTGGGATGGGAGAGGGCTCAGTGGTGTGAGAACATGGAAATAGGCGGGAGAATAGTAATGGTTGCAAAACCCAGCAATATTTACGAAGAATGATTTTTAAAGTCTAATAAATTCTTAAAATCAGAATAGATGATAGATTGGGTACCTAATGAGTGCACTCATAATAGCTGGGTTGGAAAATAAATAGCCTCCAAATTCAATTCCAACGCAAGTGTCATTTCACCTAATCAAGGACAGCCCACTGAATTATGGGAGTCGCCGCGGACGGCAATTACCTTCAGCTGGTCAAGGCTGGTTACCATCCCCTCGGGAACACTCTGTTGCCACACTTCTTGAAACTCGGCAAAGTTGAATTTCACTGCGTTCTGCAGCAGCATCTGTGCTGTGGCTCTGCATATCTTATCAGCACTCAACTCAAAATAAACTTCACCTGAAGAAACGATGTGGGCACTTAGACTGTCTTCTTAGAATTAAATCAAGTAACCTTTCCTTTTCCTCAGGGAGTCCTGAGGGCCGAGTGATTATGCATTGGACTGCTATCCACAAGGTCAGTAGTCCAAAACCACCAGCCGCCGCTCCTTGGGACAAAAACGGGGCTTTCTAATCCCCTAAGAGTGCCAGAGGCCTACATGGAGAGCAAATGTTTTGAGAATGATGAGGGTAACGAATGTACAAATGTGATTTACACAATTGATGTATGTATGGATTGTGATGAGTTGTATGAGCCCCCAATAAAATGATTTTTTTTAAAAAGTTACAGATTCAGAAACTCACAGGGACAGACCGGTGTCCCCTGTCCTATAGAGTTGGGGTAAGTCCACACTGACTCAGTGGCAGTGAGTTTGGTTTTTCGGTTTCCCGTTTCCTCAGTGGAAGTTCTCAGAAGGAATTCTAGTCCTCGGTGAGAAGCTGTTAATTTACTATAAGAACACACTTCGGGAAGACACACCATGTTCAACACAGCAGGCAAATGCCCATCAGAAAAGGTTACCAGGCTTACCTTCCTCTACGTATCTCCTCCCGTAACACTTCAGGCAGTGTTCTATCATCTCCCTGAAAAATTGAAAACACCGATGGGAAAGGTCAGCAGCGCTGTGAGATGCTACATGTTAAGCTTCACTGCTTCCAACTCGAAAGGAGGAGATACATGACTTTCCTGAACGAGGAGAAACAAGCGTGGTTCCGGCAAGGATTAAGACAAATGTCACAGGAAGCCACGATGTGCCAGGCTCTAGGCTAAACACTTCCTTCCACCCAACTGATAGAGCACATTGTTAATGACTACAAAACAACTCCTCACAATTCCTTTTTGGGTGGGGAGGAAAACAAGGATGACACACAGGTATGATCCTGTACTCCAACTCTCCAAAATCTTGTGGTTGCAGATTTTTTAACAGTTCTTAAAGACATCAAAATGTAAATAAGCTATGCACTGGTGGTAGTTCTCATCTGGAAAAGAATTCTCCTCCCCTTAGGGAAATGGGAAGGGACAAGGAATAAAGCACTCACTCCGGTTCCAGAGGGCCAAGCTCCTGAAGGCAGGTCGTCAGAGGAACTTTGTCGATAGACCAAGATTCAGAATCCACAAGCTGATTTATATGGTTCAGAAGCTTCATCTCATAATCAAATTCTAGAATCCTCCAATAACCTACAGATTCCAATACAAACGGAGCCTTCAGAGCAAATGGATTCAAAAAATAGCAGCAGCATGTTGTCCACCTGCAAAAGCACCCAGAGACTCAGAGCCATCGAGCCGATCCGACTCACAGGGACCCTCTAGGACAGGGAAGAACTGCCCCGGTGGGCTTCTGAGGCTGTAACTCTCTAGGCAAGTTGAAAGCCTCATCTTTCTGCAGTGGAGTGACTGGTGGTTTCGAACTGCTGGCCTTGGGGTTAGCAGCCCCACAGATCTCTTTAAATAATGAACCTTTCTTCTCAGGAACCTCGAGGTGTATTCAAACTGCCAACCTTTTAGTTAGTAGCTGAGGGCTTCAGTGTGTGTCACCCAGGGACTCCGGGGACTCTTTTAGGTAGAAATTAACGCTTTGATTGTTACCCAAGTGCCTTAATTATCTCACAATCACCAGGTGGTTCTAAATGGAAGTGTAGAAAGCTGCAGCTGGCACAGTCATTTCATGAGAGCCTCATGTAAGTGAGGTGAGGGTGGCAGGTTCAGGAGCCATCCGATGCAGTCATCTCTGCTGGGCCATCCTGCCAGTGGGCAGTGCTCTTCGCAGCGTCTGCGGAAGGGCTCTCATACTCACAAGGAAGTCCAGCTCACCCAAGAAATGACAGACGCACGTAGGCCCAAGAAATGATAGACGCACGTAGGCCCGTGGAACAGTAACAGCTGGGCCCCAGACACTGTGCCCTCTTCCCATGAAAGATAACAGATGCGAATTTTGTCCTCACTGGCACTCCTACCACATCAAGAACACACCCACCACTTCCAAGGGGCGAGGAGTTCATGTTCCTATGCCTGCACGTAACGCGAAGGGAGAGCTAGCAGGAATGCCCTTACCAGAAGGTCATCTGCCTCCAGGCAGCAATGATCATGCAAAGGGTCGTAATAAAAATGCATCGCTTGGTTTGCCTTTCCCCCTTCACATTCACGGTGTCCATATGCGATGTAACCTGGCAGCAAGTGTCCTAATTAAAAAGGTCACTTCGGATGCATTGAAAACGAGTCTTAACCCCACAAAGAACAGGGCTTCCGAGTGAGTTCTAATGTGGCAGCAGGTGTTCTGCCCCACAGGAGAGTAAACTCTAACGTAGGCTTTGCTCATCTTGCTGGGAAGATTGTGAATAAATCCAATGGTGAGCCTACACCTACACCTACACCCACACCCACACCCACACCCACACCCAGAGTTCCAACTTCCTAATATAAGGGGCCCTAGTGGCACAGTGGGTTAAGAGTTGAACTATTAACTTCAAGGTCAGAGGTTCAAAAGCACCAATGCTTCTAAAAAGATTTAGCCTCAGATCTGGCGGTGTAGTGGTTACAAGTGTAGGGAGTTCAAACCACCAGCCGCTCCGCTGGAGAAAGACTGGGCTTTCTCCTCCCGTCAACAGGGACAGTCTTGGAAACCCACCGGGGTCCCTGTGAGTCAGCACTGCCTCGAGGGCAGTGAGCGCTCCACAGCCAGCACCAATGGAATGGACTTAATGGCAGTGTGGCTTTAGAATTCGCGGGCAAGTGACCTGGCTACAGTGTTTAAAGCATCCCACTGTGAACCCAAAGGTTGGTTGTTTGACCCCAACTGCCACTCCCAGGGAAGAAGATGTGGCAACTGCTTCTGTCAAGAACACAGCCCTGGAGACCCGATGGGCAGTTCTACTCTGTACAGTAAGCTTGCTATGTGATCAATCAACTCGGTGCAGTGTGTTTAGCTTGTAGAATAAATGGGTGCAGAATAAAGCTGCTTCTGGACCTGCAAAGGCAGACTGACAAATGCAAGGCAGCATCAACTCATTCTGCTTGCCAGGGGGTAGGGTGGGGTGGGGGCAGGGGCGGGGCTGGGCAGGAGAAAAGCTGACTGCTGCTCTCAAGCCCACCCAGCCCATCAAAGAAGGGCTCTGGGGCTTCTCCACCCACACCTACGGCCAAATACCCCACCAGAACGGTTTTTACAAACTCATTGGATAAGGGGTTCAACAATTTATCAAAAATTCATTGAGAGATTATGGGGGGGGAAGGGTTTAAGAAGCAGTAAACGTCAGTACATATCCGCAACTGAATTCTATACATCATTAAAGAATGAAGATGAAACAGTGAAGCCCATCCAGACATGGATGGATGTGGCGCACGTTATGCTGCGTGAAGTTAGTCAAACACCAAAGTAAGCTATGTGAGCTTACGGGCATAAAAACTTTACTTTTAATCCAGAAATTTACTTTAATCCAGGGGAGGGGACAGAGGGAAGGGGAAGCAACAGGCAAGAGGGCAGGCAGGGGTTAACCTGGGTGAAAGAAAAGCAGAGGCAGGGGAGGGGGAGGAAGCAAGACAAGCCACTGGGGGATCTGATCAGTTGTTTACGTTTAAATATGATGATGTGATATGTAAACTCCCACCAAATTTACAATAAAGTGTTTGTGGGGGCCAGAGTTATTCTAAGAAACAAGGTTATCACCTTCCAAGCATTTTGGAAGTTGCTTGTTGCAGGTTATTAATTACATAATTCAAAGCTTAGACCTCAATGTGGAGCCCTGCACAAACCAGTTCCCCTTCCTGGGACTTCTTAGGCTCATTTGTTACAGAAAATGGAGAGGCTGGACTGCCTGAGGTCTAGCGGCCCTCCTGGAGCTGACATGTTTCTTCTATTGCCACTTAATCCAAAGGAAATGGTAAGGAGCGCTTAAAACCAGTGGTTCTCAACCTGTGGGTTGCAGCCCTTTCACAGGGGTCGCCCGATTCATAACAGTAGCAAAATGACAGTTATGAAGTAGCAACGAAAATAATCTTATGGTTGGGGGGGTCACGATATGAGGAACTGTATTAAAGGGTCACAGCATTATGAAGGTTGAGAACCATGGGTTTAAACCCACTGGCAACACACTGAACTCATGATCACCTGGTGTGGCAGTTACATAATCTGTCAACTTGAGCAAGGGGTGGACTCTAGCCTGTCAATCAGGTCATAGCCAATGAAGCCTCTGTGTGGGCATGGCCTTCTCCTGAGGATTCTGGGAATTCCTGTCTTCCTCCCTGGAGGCAGGACATACACTCTGCTTCGTCTTCCTGCTGACAAGACACATGGAGCTACACTGATGGAACCAGAGCCCTGGAGCTGGAAGAGACACGTGGAGACCCATGCCAGCACTGAAATGCTTCCACTGCCACTGGATCCACAAGACTTCTCACCCACTGGCTTGTGATCTTTCTGCATTCAATACCATTGCATGTGTTGCGTGAGTCTGAAGAGGAATTTGAAGACTGGTATTGTGCATACAGGCTAATGTAGGATTTATGGACTTGATCTGGGATGTTCTCAATATACAATTGCTCTTTTACATAAAGCTCTTTCTTATATACATGAGTGTCTATGAATTTGTTTCTCTAGTTAATCCTGACCAGCACACAGACTCTCTATCCACTCCCCTAATAGAGATATTATCCTGGAAGTCCACAGATGAAATAAACAGCTTGCAATAGGGTGCAGATGTCACCAAACCTCTCCATCAACATTCATAATAACAGTAAGTAATGTTACCTCCAATTTCGCAGGCATTTAGAACTTGTAATTGTGTCATTATTTCTTCCTCACTTGCCTGAATTTGATCAAGTAAATCTCCGATCGTATACTGAAAGAATAGAGAAAAGAGTTTTAAGAAAGATTCTGTGTTTCTTCTGTTCCTGCATAAAGATTATGACATCAAGGCCTAAACCAGGGGACAGACTTTTATTTTTAAAGATCCAACCCAAAAAGGTCCTGGAGAGTTTAGAAATATCAAGAAAACACTGTGGTACATCATCATGACCTGGATCTGACCATGGCAGCTTAGAGAAGACTCCAAAATCCCAGGCCACAAAGTACAAATATCAGATAAAGTGGGCTTCATGACACTGAAAAGCTTTTGTGCATCCAAACACCACCAAGCGAGTGAAAGGCTACTCGGCAGGATAGAAGAAAAGACTCACACACCCCACATTCGAGAGGGACTTGTACGTCGGCGATCTAAAGGGCTCTCATAACTCAAAGAAAAGACAAATAACCCAAATTACAACTCGGGCAAATGACCTTAGATCTTTCTCAAAAAATGGTTATACAAAGGACCAGCGCATGTCTGAAGAGATTTTCAGCCTCATTAGTCATCCAGAAAATGTACATCGAAACCAAAAGAAGATGCCACTTCATTTTTATTCTGTCTCGCGTGTGCCCCCCCTGTGGGTTTCCGAGACTAACTGTTTATGGGCGTAGAATGCCCAGTCTGCCCCACGGAGCTGCTGGTGGTTTCAAACCATTTGGATTGCAACCCAACACATAACCACCACATCACCAGGGTATAATCACAAAGACAGATAATGCAAAGTGGGAAAAGATGTAGCGCCAACTAGAATGCTCATCGCACATCTAGTGACAAGATGGCACAGCCACTTTGGAAAAGTCTGGTGCTCGTAGTTCCTCAAAAAAATTATACACAGTTCATCTCAAATTCACGGCCATCGAGTCAATTCTGAATCATGGCAACCTTCTAGGACAGGGTAGGACCACTCCTGTGGGCTTCCTAGACTGTCACTCTTTATGGAAATACAAAACCTCCTCTTTTTCCCACGCCTGGGGGTTTCGAACTGCCGGCCTGGGGGTTTCGAACTGCCGACCTTGTGGATGGCAGCCACTGCTAGCCACGACGCCACCAGCACGCCTCAGAGTTAACCTTTTACCACTCAAGTTTCACTCCTGGTTCTATCCCCAAAAGAAATGAAAACCTATGTCCGCTGAAAAGTTTCCACATCAGTGTTCATAAGCACCGTGATTGGTCATGGCCAAGATGTGGAAACAATCCGAATGTCTTCTGATGAATGGATCAACTGGGATGGAGCCACACATGGAATACTGTTTGGCAGTAAAGGAAATACTGACCCATGCGACACTGTGGATGGTCATTCAACACGCTCATGCTGACTGAGAGAAACCGGCCAAAAGGCCACGTGCCTCGTGATTCCATTTCTACGAAAGGACCACCAGAGGCAAATCTCAAGAGGCAAACAGTGGGAGTGGCTGCCTCGGACTAAGGAGAGTGCTTGGTCTGCAGGTGGCAGCTCAAAAGTATGAGTTTAGGGGGGGGTGATAAAAATATTCTAAACTTGACATTGGAGAGGGTTGCACCATCCTAAAAGCTTTGGAATAGGTACACTGGGAAGTAAAGATTATTATCTCCATAAAGCTATGGCCCCGATGAAAACTATTCCAATTTTTAATTAAGTTACAAGCTTCTCATTTATTTTCACTTGTTCTATAAATATTCTTTCCTATTTCCAGGAATTTCCTAATTTCTAGGCGCCCTGGTGGCATAGTGGGTTACATGTTGGGCTAACTGCAAGGTCCACAGTTGGAAACCACCAGCTAGCTACTCTATGGAAGAGAGATGAGGTTTTCTACTCCTGTACAGATTTATAGCCCTGGAAACTCCTGGGGCAGTTCTACCCTGTCCTATAAGGCCACCTGAGTCAGAATCAACTCAATGTCAGTGAGCGTTTTCCCAGAATTGGTCAATTTTGACTTCAGAGCAAGAAAATACATTCCATTTTCATAATGTCCTCTCTTAGGAGGGCCTAGTTATAGACTTTAATGAAGCGAGGATCAATTTTACCTCAGACATAGTTATCGTTTCAGAGTTAGGTACATGAGATGCTGTTGGTATATGAATGTCACCATGCTATCTAGGATATGTGTTTTAACATACTCAAGAAGCAGAGGAAAAATGTGGAGGGAGTAAGAGAACAGAATAGAGTAGGCTGGAAATAGAGGTTGGTATCTAACCTAAGAGATCAAAAGAAAAGGAGTCATGCTATTACTCCCAGCTTTGGGGTATGTTTGAAAATTCCATATCAGATATAAATGAGAATGTCACCATTAAATGCTTCTAATTATAGTTCTACTTTAAAAAATCACAAACCATGGGGGAGGGGGGAAAAGAGGAGCTGATACCAAGGGCTCAAGTAGAAAATGTTTTAGCAATGTGGATAGCAGCATGTATACAAGTGTGCTTAATACAACTGAATGATGGATTGTTATAAGATTTGTAAGAGCCCCCCCCAATAAAATGATCAATTAAAAATAAATAAATAAAATCACAAACAAACAAAACATCATATTCTTACATTGGAGCTATTTGAATCCTTTTCTTTTTGACTGTCAGGCCCTTCGTAGGTGTTTCCCATTAAAAGTTTCTTCAGCTTCTTTAATTTAGGTCTGCATCTTCTTAATTCCCAGTAATTGTTAGAAAAACCAAAGATCTAGAAGTGAGAAATATAACCTGTCAGCTGGGACAGAACTCCACGGCACCTAACAACGACAACCAGACACCATTCCAGAAGAAAAGTTTCACATCAAATGCCAACTCACTTACCTGCTCCTGGCAAGGTAGCCAGGAAACCAGAGCCAGGCTATTGTGCCTTGTTGAGAGCACACGCATCCGATCCAGCTTCCTCAAGCAGATGGGTGGAAGCTTCCCGAAACATCAGTGAAGAAGCCACTGCCTACCCCACAAAGTATCCCTTGAAGTCTTCTCTAAACCAAATAACGGTGAAGCTCAAGAGGTAAAGCAGCTCTTCCCTGAGCACTGTGCTCTTTCAGGTCTAGCTCCAGGGGACCGGAAAGACAAGAGCCCCTTAGAAGATCAGACAGGACAGCGGGCAGCAGAGTATGCACTGATGGAGGAGGACCGATGTAGAAAAGAGAGGAGGGGAGAAGAGTTCCATGTCACTGAGTTATTTCGGTTTCTTTGTTCATCAGTGCCATCGAGCCCACTGAGGCTCACAGCAACTTTACGTGCCACTGCCCAGTCCTGCGACAGCCTCACAATCAGCCCAGTGTTAGGGCTCGTTGGGGTAGCTGCAGGCACGCCCCTAGAAGCTGCTGAATCTGTTTTGCTGTGCATATTCTCAACTCAGACCAAAAGGAAACGGATTTCACCAACAAAACATTGCCAACGTGGTGGAATCTAACTCACGAGCTTCCCCTCTGCAACCCTGGTACTCCGTAAGAAAAGAAAAGCGCTCAAGAGGATTATCTCGGTGGTGTCGCCCAACCTTAAAAGTGGAGGGGGGGTGGGTCGGGGGTGTCCATTCTCAAACCAGTATAAGACACGGTTGCTAACATTAGGCCCAGCTCCTGGAAGCGATGATGCTGAATCTCAGACCAACACTAAAGAGCGTTAAGGACCAACCCAGAGAGGTTTACCCGCAGTTCCCAAACTGGCCGACTGCTGCTCGTCTCCAGTGCAAACCCAACGCACTTGCCAGCCAGTCGATGCTCACTCGGTGGCCCGATAGGGCAGGAGAGAGCCGCCCGTGAGTTTCTGAGACCTAACTCTTTACCGGAGTCAACAGCCCTGTCTGTCTCCTGAGGGGCGGCTGGCGGTTTCAAGCTGCTGACCCTGGGGTTCACAGCACTATGTGTAACCACTATGCCACTAGGGCTCTTTCTCCAATGTGAAGTTGTTCCTATTTCCTCATGAGCACCTGTGGTTTGTGGGCCACAGGGGGAGGCCTGGCAGGTTTCAATCGATGGCCAGTACCACCAGCAGCTGCAGGAGCATAGAATCATCCACCGATTATGGTCACAAGGGCAGGATTCATTAGAGCTCCAAATTTTCACAATCACAATTACCCTTGTTAACAACCATACACATCTGAACCGCATAATCCCATCAGCATTTCCCCCACCTTCTCTCTGACCCAGAGACACTAGGAAGGGAGGAAACACAACCAATCTGCATGGCCCCACCCAATCATTTGGTGGGAGACACAAAGTTTAGGGCTTAAGGAGCCACGGGAAAAAAATCATGCCCAGGTGGTGCACCCATGGATTGAGACCTGGATTGGTGGACCTTTGCTTAGTTTCCCCTGCCATCACGCACAAACATAGCAACAATTGTGAGAATGGTGCAGGACCAGGAGGTGTGTTCTCCTGTTGTACAGAGGGTTGCTTTGAGTCGGAACAAAGTCAACACCACCTAAAATAACAGGCACAAAATTTACATACTACAAAGGAGAGTTCAAACGCATTCATAGTTTACCCTCAAAAAACCAAACCCTGCAAAACAAGTGATGAAAAAAATACCATGACCTTGTTACAGAAAGATGAACTCCCAATATTTCTGGTTAATGACTCCGAATGGCTTAGGTTGTTACAAGGTACCATCAGCCGGTTCCCACACCCAGCGACCCCATGGGGCAGCGTAGAACTGCTACTCTGCCACAGAGCTCCTTGTGGGTTCGAGAAGCCAACCTTTGGTTCACAGGCCACTGCCTAACTGCTGAGACACCTGAGCACCTTGAAAGACTTACAGGCCTACAAGCAGCCTCCCACAGTTGCTGGGAGGTTCTAATGTTCCAGTAACATCATGAGAGTCACGAAGCTTCCTAGCATCTCCCCGACTCGCCATGCCACTTCTCTTGTCAAGGGAGGAGTTGACCAGAAGTTCTCCTGAAATCATGAAAGGCTCCGTGTGGATGGCTTATAAAAATGTGTCCCCACCTAGACAGGATGGAGACTGCCACTTGGTATCTGCCTTCGGTAGGCTCCCAAATCCTTGAGCATGTTAAAATCCTACACATGCTGAGGTAGTTATTGTGCCAACCTGGCTGATAAACACATGTGGGATTAATTGAAGGGCAGAGAGCTAAATGGCTCGGCGAGCCTTGCCTTTTGTCTCTCGCTCTTTGATCATCGGACCAGTGTGCGGCTGCCTTGCTTGTTCTTTGCCTCAATTTGCAAGCTACCCTACCTGTGGGACACCTAACCTGTGGACTGTGTCGCTGTAATTTGAGGTTCCTTTTAGCTGTTTTTCACTACACCATTGGAATTTACATCTCTTGAGCTGGGGACTGTTGGACCCTGTCATCTGGCTGATTGTTGGTGACCTGCCCTGCTGTTCGCTGCCTGTGCCCGGATAGCCTGAATTGCTCTACAGGACTACCCGGCAGCCCTCAAGACTTGAAGGACTGCCAGTGTCTCACAACTGTCTCATGGGAGTGAGTTGCACTGAGCCATTTGTACTGCTTTATAATTTAATTAACATTTATTTATGTTATAGCTGTGTAAATATATATAAAATTATTAGCATTTTGGTTTTATTTCTCTAGAGAACCCTGTCTAATACACATGTTAATAAACTGTACCAGCTTCAAAGCTGAGACCCATACTTCCTGGATTAAAAAAAAAAAGCAACTCAAATGTCTTCATTTCTCTGATTTTGAAGTTCTAGTTTGAAGGAATGTCCTTTCAAAAGAACCTGAGAAACAGACTGAAAACGGGTCAGATTTGGAGAGCGAGTCACCTAATTGCACACTTTCTTTATGGACAACGAATGAGTGTTAGGACCTAACACTGTGCACTTGGGAAAGTGAAGCCATTGCACCAGATGTGCAGAACAGAAAAGCAAGCCTTGCTGGGAAATTTCCAATGTCGTTCAAGAACTTTGGAGTTCCCTGAAATTGTACGTACTAGACCTAAAGCCTTGAGCCAAGGGCAAGATGAGTGCATGTGTTCTTAGTCTTAGCTAAGCCAGGAGACAGAAAACAGTACCTCAGAGTGAATAAGGTTACAGGGGGCCGCCTCTGTCTTCAGCTGCTCTGGGGTTTTACAACCAGGAATAAAAAGCAACATATTTGAAGTGTCTGCTATTTTCAAGTCGTAGGTTTGATCTTTACTGCACAGCACAGCCTGGTCGTCTTTATCCCCACGAATCACAAGCCTGTGGAAAATCAGAGATACAGGTGGTTGATGAAGACTCCACTGGACTTCTTCAACAGGAGCCCCAGTGGCATAGCAGGGTATGTGTTGGGCTGCTAATTACAAGGTCAGCAGTTCAAATCCATCAGCCAATCAACAGGAGAAAGCTGAGGCTTTCTGCTTGCAAAAAGATTTATAATCTCAGAAACCCAACAAGGTGGTTCTCCTAGGTCACTTCAGGTCCCTATAAGCTGGAATTTACTTGAAAGCAGTAAGTGAGACACCTGTATCATAAACAATACCCAAAATTTGTACGTTTGTTTTTTGCTTTTTAATTAAGTCTGGAAGCTGTATCTGACCTCTGTGCTCACAGCTCTTAAACAATGATAGGTACCCAGAGCGGGGGATGTCAATGAAGGGCCAGAAAGACACTAATGCAAATTACATAAACATTGACCAGAGAAATCGGTCCCTGAGTGGAACTAATTATTTACTAGCAGTGGTTAAGCATTGGGCTGCTAAGCACAGGGCCAGCCATTTGAAATCACCAACCATTCCTCAGGAGAAAGATGAAGCTGTCTACTCCCATAAAGAGTTACTCTTAGAAACCCACAGGGGCAGTTCTACTCTGACCGATAGGATCACTAAGTCAGAATCAGCTAATTGGCGGAGAGCATGTTGTTTGTTGTTACTAACCGAAAGATTGGAGATGAGAATCCCCTCAGCAGCAGCACTGTGAAGGAAAGGCCTGGTGATCTACTGCCATCAAGATCACAGCTAAGGAAACTCTAAGGCAGGGGTCCTCAAACTTTTTAAACAGGGGGCCAGTTCACTATCCCTCAGACTGTTGGAGGGCCAGACCATAGTTTTTAAAAAAAACAACAAATTCCTATGCACACTGGACAAGTTGGCTGCTAAACAGGACAGGCAGCAGCGGCAAAAACACCAGGCGGGCCGGATAAATATGTGGCCCGCGGGGGTGTAGTTTCAGGACCCCTGCTAAGGAGCAGTCCTACTCCTTGACACCCAAGTCCCCCAGGAGTTGAAATGGGTGTGAAGGCCACAGGTTTGCTGCTGTCAAGCCTTAACAATTTTCCAGAACATGCTAAGTAGTGTTTCTCAAGCTTACGTCTCAGGAAATCTTACCATGAAGACTCAGTAGGTCTGGGATGGGGCGCAGGACTCAGCATTGCTAGGAGGCATCTAGACGGAGGCCACGCTTCTGGTGCTGGTGGTGTTAGGTGCCATCGAGTCGGCTCTGACCCATAGCAACCTTGCTATGCACAACAGAAGGAAACACTGCCCAGTCCTCCCCATCCTCACAATGGCTCCTATGCCTGAGCCCAATGCTGCAGCCACTGTCACTCCATCTCATCAAGGGCCTTCCTCCTTTTAGCAGCCCCTCCGCTTTACCAAACACGGTGTCTTTCTCCAGGGACTAGTCTCTCCTGACCATATGCCCAAAGTCTGCAAAGTCGAACCTTGCCATCCTCGCCTCTAAAGAGCACTCAAATGCATCTATTTTTCTACAGTCTTCCTTATTCAAGGTCCAACTTTCACATGCATATGATGCAACAGAGAATACCATGGCTTGGGTCAGGTGCACCTTAGTCCTCAAAGTCACATCCTTGCTCTTCTATACTCTAAAGAGGTCTTGTGCAGCAAACAGATTGACCTAGTGCAGTGCATCTTTTGATCTCCTGACTGCGGCTTCCATAAACGCTGATTGTGGAACCACGTAAGACAAAATCTGTGACAGGTTGTTTTTGTCAACTAGAAAAACTACCACTGGACAAAAAGAAAATATTCACACCTTCTCAAACAAACAACACTCCACCCCCACTAAACCGAACACTGACACTGTCAGTTCAGACTCAGCGACCCTTTAGGAAAGGCTGTGGGTTTCCAAGACTCTACATCTTTAGGGGAGTAGAAAGCCTCATCTTTCCAGTGTTTTCGAACTACTGAGCTTGTGGTTAGCAGTTTAACACATAACCCAGTTTAACACATAACCCACCAAGCTAGCAGGATTATCACACCTGAAGTCTTTCTTAAATCCCCACCAATTTGGCTATGTTGAGAATGAACGCAGTGAAGCTCACTTTCCATTTAGAGACCCAAGGTAACTTGTATCCAAGGAAAGGCCAGCAACTTCCAAATATTCGGGGAAGAAGGGAAATAGAATGGATTTTTCCAAGCCCCCTCCTATGTACACAGTTCAAAACCAAACTAAACTCACTGCCATCGCGTCAATTCCGATTGACAGCGACCATACAGAGCAGAGCAGAACAGCCCTGTGGGTTTCTGAGACGGTAACTCTTTATAGGAGTTGACAGCCGCCTCTTTCTCCAGAGGAGCCGCTGCTGGTTTTGAATCGCTTACCTTGCGGTTAAGAGCCCAAGGCATAACCTTCTACACCGTGGGGGGTTCTTTGTGCATAGTGGCATCTAGAATACAGCACTGCCTGATGGGGGTGAGGTAACCGCACGGTCAGCAGTTGGAAACCACCCTCTGCTAATATATATGGGAGGACGATGGTGCTTTCTACTCGGCGCTCCTAGAACTCCAGGACCAGTACAGGCGACCATCGGATTTTAAGTAGAATGAAGGGGCTCCGGGGAACCCTTGGCTGCGCTGTTCGCATCTGCAGAATTTCCTTGAGGGTCTGTTTCCCGATCTGTTCCCACGGACACGCGAACCCATCAGCCTCATACATATCATCTCGGTCCGGCGGACTGAAGGGCCTGGCGCGGAGGGTGTTGGGAACCCGGGCCCTGCGCCCCGCCGGCGCCCCTCACCTGTGGCCG